ATCTTCACAATCCGCTTTGTTTCTTTCCTCACCACGAAACAGTGGGGACGGGGTGATGAAACAGCCCATCCACTTGGTCAAACCATGGAGGAAGACACAGAAGGAGTTGTAACTAAGGCACTTCAAAGCGTCCAATGATGGTCGCCGCCGAGTCTGACGAATAATAGAAAACATTCCAAAAATGCCTTATTGCTGCCTGCATCTTAGCCAGACAAGCGGGGCCAGTAATATCCTGGCAATACTTGTAGTTTTGCTTGCAATTAAATGCAAACTGTCGATGTGACCAGGAAATAGAGAGAGAAAACTTCCTGATATTAGACCTACTTTTGCCATCATAAATAAACTTTTCAAATTTTGACACACTGTTTCATTATCCATGCAAAGTTTGTAATTCTGGTCTCCTCCGTCCAATATACATCAGTATCAAAGACTTGGAACGAATTTGGCTAAAACTGGCCAAGAAAATGTTCACTACTTCTGGAAAGCTTAGTTCATTAGCAACAAAATGCGCTATTTCATCACAAGGAGTGATCGCGAAATCTCATAAAATACGCCTTTGTACAACTGCCATAATGAAACTGATTCAAACAAAACACAAAATCTTACAAACAGCTTGGCTATTTATTCCTAAAAGAAGTCCAGAAGAAAGTGTTCGATAAGGGCAACAACTGCACATGAACACTTTGGGTATACAGCCTAAAAAAAGCAACTGCGCAAACACTACATTTGATGATGTTGTCGGTTCATATCATTATCAAGCACCAACGATGGTATGAATATTCAACTTCCTATACTGCAGTACACAACGTTTTAGGGATGCAGATTACCAACTAAAAATTGCGGCGACGATCATGGGGTACAAAGGGAGCGTATGGTTGCAAAACAGGTGGTCGGTAGCAGGCGTGCGCTGCGCTCTGGCTATGGACATACCGGGCATGCCAGAAAGTGGTAATCAGCCAGATGTTATAGTCTGGGCAGTTCAAACTCCTTCTGTGTCCTTCCTCCATGGTCAAACAGTGGGGGGAGATATTACCCCATCCCCGGGATATAGGGGGGGTATTTATATAAATTTGTATTTTCGACTAAGGTCATTATAGTACGTTTCATCGTTAAACTTGCAGGTTTAATAATAAACATTCAGCGAAAAAATGCTTAAGTGACCAAATTTAATCTTTGGCGATCGACTGAAGGTGAATAAACCTATAAGGCCTATTTTATACTAACCTCTTCTATCTCCTCTCCATGGATAGGCTCACTGGGCGCAGAGCTTGGCTTGCTGACGATGGTTGGAGTGTGTTCGTGTGGGTGTACGTGTACCCACCCTTGAACAACGTTTATACGCTTATTACCAAAATCAATATTAAAGCCTAGTGAAATACTAAAAAATCAATGTGTACAATGTCTAAGTAACTAAGTAAATAAGCTACACTACTTGATAAACATAGGGATAAATGTCACCTAGCCTACAGTAAGTTATGGGCCTACAACAAGTACAACCACACACTACAGTAGTAGAAGATGCACTGGCTCCTACAGCTACATGCACTACGTACAGGCTGCATACTATCAGTAGTGACCACTGAAGTGTGAACTCAACACCGAAGGAATGCTATAGACAAATTTGCTTCCAACAAGATAGGGTGCTCTATTTATAAATAGGAGTGATCAAACTCCTGTAGACTGGCATGATCTATTTACAATGATAGGGTTGATCAAAAAAGACACTACAAAGGTGACAGCTTACTGATCATTCACTGCGTGCGATTTAAGTTTCTCGACTCATCCATGTGAAGTGTTCAATCGAGACACGAGATACCGTGTAGGAGCAAATCAGTTTTGTTTTGGAAGACAAAGTTGTCGAGTTATCACAATGGTTTCTCTTTTTACTGGCAAAAATGTAAGCTGCCCCTTTGAAATATTTCCCTGGTAACATTCTCAACCAGTATGCCTGTAGTCGACTCCTGTTATTACGAAACCAACAGGACCAAATGAAACTGCTCGTACTCAAAATTCAATGAATTGGGATTGCGGTGCACTGGCTTCCTTTTTGTCGTGTTCATCGCTGGACTGCATCAATTCAATTCACACTTGTGGGCAGTTTACCATGCGGATGTGGTGATTTATATGGATATTATATGGACCCCCTTTTGAACTGCTGTGGTTGTTTTCGGTGAAACGATGGAAAACAACAATACTGCCTGAATGAACAATGCGGATAGAGACCTTGCATCACCGTCGTGTTAAGGCCTACAGTGACCCCGTCTTGGACTGCCTGTAATTGGCGTAGTGTCACTACGAACTCCTATTGCACGGGATGCACGTTAAGTCTTCACGATGGGTACTCGGTTCAATGCCAGTTGTGGTCACGCAGGTTGGTATGCCGTCATCTGTCTCCATGTCAACTGGCTGCTATGGACAGGACTCCTCAAAGGTCTAGGAGTGCTGCTGCCGACTCTTCAAGAGCAATTCACGACTGACACGTGGATGATTGGCGGATTGATAGCAACTATAACTGGTGCTGGCAGTTTCACAGGTATGCGCTGTGTATTGGTGCATATTGTCGCCGTTTTTGACACAGTAGGTTAATGTATAGGTCAATGACAGCGCTATCATTTTCTTTCGTCTACATCACAGCACACTTTTGCTGACAGTTTTAAAATCTGGCGAATCGAAAAACCTCTAATGAATGCTTTACTAAATATCGACATAAATGGCTTCCGTTCTAAAACCGATGAAGTACGTGGTGCATTTTGAGTCAAAACTTCTTCCCAGCAAAGAGTGAATCTTATGACAATTTTGGGCTCCCATACAAAAAGGGTCGTCAGTATTTGCTTTAAACTAACAAAAGATCGATAGACTTGCAGTACGAGACATAACGGGAACCCTTGTGCCCACCCCCAAAAGATGTGCCACACGATGATGACTGTAGGTTTCTACAGCTAGGCCATTCAAACTCAGGGCATACAGCCTACACTGTCTCCTGTCTACGAGAAGGCAGGTGCCAATTACGCTTTCATTTTAAATCCAACGTAGGTCCGTTATCCAGGCCATTGGAGGTGTTGTTTGGTACCCGCATCGTGGTCACAGTCTGCGGATTCCTCTTAGGGGTGTCTGTAATAGTCTCGTCCTTCTCGACCAGGGCTATCCAGATGTTACTTGCTTTATCCTTAATTGCTGGTACAGTGCATATGCTTTTTCTATTCCAAGCTTCGTCACCGAGCTAATCAATCATGATCAGTAAGTCAGTTGTCACTGGAATGCCAACGTACAGTGGCTTCAAAAGTCCTGGCTATGTATTGTCGTCACAATGTGTAGTTTTTGGGTCCTCACTGGTTACAAAGTTTGAACTTTGTGTCTTTACTCAACATGAACGCCCTCTTGCAAGTGACGCTCTGCAAAATGTGCACTTTTATCAGTGAGCTACCAACAATGTTTTGAGCCAGTTTTCCTCTTTTTTGGAATTTTTATGTCCCTGTCTATGCTCTACCAAAGGGCAGTATTTACGAAATAAGCAAGGAGTGGTGCATTCGTCTGATTTTTGGAGCGTTATTTTTATCTTCAGGTCCTTGCTTGATGATCGCCAGTATTTTATCGAGAGCTACGACGGGTCGTTATTTCACCACAAATTACGCGACAGTGAATGGCATTGCGACCTCAGGACACTCAGTGGGCTTGATTTCCTTTGCCCCGTTGACTCAAGTGCTTTTAGACACCTACGGCTGGCGAGGTGCCTTGCTACTGCTTGGGGCTATCAGCACGCATCTTGGTGTGTGTGGCCTCCTGCTAAGACCACCACCATCTGCAGGGGCGAGGGAAAACTACCAACCAATCATATCCAGTGAAGAGGAGCCGTCAGTATACCGATCACAAATCCCTAAAGGTCAGAGGAAATCCCGACTCTGTCTCCTGAAGGATGCCGTTAAGGTTCAGGGGAATCGTTTCGGTTGCAAGGTGTTCAGCCTCGCCGCATTCTGGATAGCTGCGCTTGTCTACAGTGGCAATTCCTTTGTGAGCGGTCTCTGGCTGATATACTTCGTCGCTTACGCCGAGTCGAAGGGCTTTTCTGGGTACGAGGCCGTGACGTTCACCACGGCCGCGGGGATAGGGAACCTGATTTTCAAGATTCTTGTTGGATTGGTTGTGGATCGAGGCTGGCTGAGGCTGCAATTGGCCTTGCTAATTTCAATCATGACTTGTGGCTTGGCCCTATTCACTCTTCCCTTGGTGAACTCCTTCTGGTTAATGATTGTCAACGCCATTATCTTTAACGGCTTCGCTGGAGCGCAATCATCACTTAGTGACATTTATACACGGGAACTCCTGGGAGCCGAAGACCTGGTACCTGCTTTCAGTTGGGTGGGGCTCCTATCGGCCACTATTCATATCACTTTTGGATTCTTCCCTGGTAAGAAATACTCAAATACATACATGGTGTATATTAGTTTCAGAGTTTGAGTTCAATGACAGCAATTTCAAGGACTCCATTTCTAATTCTACCTACAAGTTGTAACGTGACAACGATTCTGAGTATAGATGTATTGAAATGCTAGCTTTTTGTATTTACTATGAAGTTGATTGAGAAATCTATGACTTTGTTTTATCTCTTATCAACCTTTTCGTGAGCATGTGACTCGTATATAATTTGTAACGTACCTTTTAAACTGCTTACCGTGCAAAATTTAAAAGGTACCCAGCATAAAAAATGGAATTTTTGTTTCTGAAATTAGCATTGGCTGTACTCTATTTATTGCAAGATTTATAATTGTGGTTTAAAACTAGTTGTGGACTTTTCAGAGAAACTGGCACAAGTCAAGGCATTCATACAGTGACGTTCAGGATAGACAGATTTCAAATTTTTGAAGGGAAAACTTCGCCTCTCCCCACCGTCATTGCTTCGTCAAGATTCACGAAGTAGTTTTCAAGCAAATCAGTCATTGAATAGAATTCATTTCATCGATGAACTGTTTTCACTGATAAATTCATATTTATGCAAGCATGCGCAGAAATAGCCAGGCCGACAAAAAGTGTAAGCCATGTACAAGGGTATTTTTAGTCGCGTTTATATTCTCTCAGATTCTCAGACTAAGGTAAGTCCATCCAATGTCAGACTAGATATAACTCTGACCGAAGATGAGAAAACTTTTAGGATAAATATTTACCCCTTTAAGTAAAGAAAGATGGCGTGCAAGTGAGTTTCGTTTTAGCAAAATGTTACTTTCTATTGAGTTTATAGCTTCAAAAAGAGAGAGCTTAACTGGTCAATGGACCCCAAATTAGAAAATCATTTGCAGAACCGGAACACAGCTAGCGCAAGAATTGTTCATGTTTTACTACCCACTCCTGCATTACTGCTCGGGGAAAAATTGAAGTCTTTTTTTTTTTTTGGACCCCTGAATATTTTTGCATTACTGCTTAGACAGGCCTCTGACGTTTTTATGGCCATGATCATTTTACGGGAAAGCGTTGCCTAATAATGACTCAATAATGAAAATGTCCGTAACATTGGTGAACACTTTCGCGTACGACTAGCACTTAAATTATTTATACATAAAGTCGAACAGCAAGGAACCCACACTCCTTTGGGCGTCAAAGAACTAACGAACAATTCGTCACCCTGTTCGTTAAAGACACACATGTGGATTTTGAGGAAACCAGGATTTCGAAATAATTGCAAGAGAAATTATTCTATCCTATTTTCAACCTGCAGAAAATACTAAGTTTGCTACAACTTATTAAGTGACAATCCCCCATGATTCTTTGGGTTGTAAACTTTTGCTCAAAACCAGTAATAGAGTGTCAAGAAATAAAGAAATCATCCAAATTAACCAGTAAAGACGCGCGTGAACATCCATGATTTCCAAGATTGCCGCCTTTCAATACACTAGCTTGTTCCATATTGGAAGGCCACGCACATCTGAATCTAACAATAGACCTAACACATAATGGCATATCGCCATGTTTACCGTGGTGCATTGTGGACGAGAGGTAAGTGGGGATGACAGTACGTGCGCTATTACTAGAACATCGTGAGAAAGCCTATAATTTCCAAAATGGTTCTTGTTAACTATTGCGTGTCATTGTGTGTATCAGGCACACGACGAAAGCCAGAGCTGCATTTTTAACCTTTCACGAGACCCGCAAGTTTGCTCCGTCTGAAGTCGCGCTATAATTTGGCCACAATTTCATCGTAATAATGCCAGCAGATGACAATAGGTACGGTTACGTTTCTGCAAAAGTTTTCCGGAGAATTTCCTTGGAACTACCAAATCAAAAGATTTTACACTCTATCAATCATTAATGTTGTCGGAAAGGAGCAAAGGGCAAAGTGGTAAATATGTCAAATAAATTCCAAAGATTTTCTTCGAAAACATACCCCCCATAACTTTACAGGATAAGCCCCTGACTATGTAACTGAACTTGCCTACATTTCAGGTTGGATATTCGATCAGACTGGAAGCTATGACAAGGCTTTTTTCATCTTGGGATTCATCGCCCTTCTGCCGTTGGTGTCACTACTCGTGGAAAAGCTACTAAGCCGACAGAAGGCTTGACCTTAACTGCGTCCTCAAGTGTTATTTTAAACATTATCGAAACATGAATCTACTTATCCTCTCGAACTATAAAGACACTGCAGATTATACACCCAGAGCCTTGAGCTGGACCAAGAACGTAATTTGCCTAGCAATGGAGGGTCCTTTGGTTGGAACAGCACTTTGCTGGTTCACAAACGACTATGAAGTGCACAGTTACAGTCGCATCGCTACCAACAAATGAACACTACACGACCAACCAGGGGCGTGGTGATCGGGGTGTGTGGAGGGGGGGCATCTCCCCAATAATTAATACCAGTCGGCCTTTGGTCGGCAAATGTATCTAAAACTGGTGCATATACGATGTACGTTGATAGCCGGCATTTCCCCTGAGGGAAGAAATGAAATCCACAAAGGATTTCCTTTTTCCGCCATTTGTGCATTTTACAGAACGCGAGGTTGGCAAACGAGTTTTACAAGTTTGTAAATTGACTCTGTCACCCCCCCCCCGAAAGAAAATGCCTTCGCTGCGCCCAGGCTCTTTTCAAGCAATGACAGGTGCCTCTACTAAAAGCAGATTGTCGGTCGGTGCAGATGATTACTCATTGATTGTGAGTAATATCCATAATTTATACTCACTTCATCTCGGGTCTTGTCTTCAGATTTGTTGTCAAATTATTGTTAATGTTTGAGTCGTGTGAAAACCGTGTCTGTGAAGTAATCTTTTTGAGTGGATATGTCCATCCTTAGAAAACTAACACATTTTTTCCAAGCTGCAATCTTCAATCCGTTATTGTAGAACAGGAAATAATAAATCGGAGGGGAAAACGCCATAGAAAGATTTCTGGAACGCGAGTATGCTTGAATCTTGAATAAAATGACTCGCTCGACGCAAGACAAGTTTCGAACCCATTTATTTTCTGGCACATAACAATGATAATAATAAGCATTACTTTTTATTTATTTGCTATCACAGCATTACACAGATGCCTTACAAACCATGATGATTAGCACAGGCATGTAGTCCCAAGACGAAACAAAAACAGACAGACAAACACAATTAAGCAAACACCAAAAATACACTAATAAAGAGAATGAAATAAA